TTATTTCTTACCCCTTTTGATCATATATTAAATAGTTCATTTAAATGGTACTATAACTTGTTAAAATTTTGAATTATATAATGTATGAAATGTACTTTTATATAATCTGGGGTAAGGAGAGTGGGTACAGACATAGAGGAAAGAAGACTGGCCATGTGTTGCTGTTGGTTGAAGCTGAGTAATGGGTACATGAGGGTTTCTTATACTAATTGTTCTTCTTTTCTTCTTTTGAATATATTTGATTTTTTCCATAGTAAAATACATATATATGTTATACATATTATATATATATATATATATATATATATATATATATATATACATATCTATCTTTATGTGCATCTGAGTGAAAAAGTTAAACTTATTTAGTGACACTATTTTGAACCCATTATTACAATGTTTGTCTTTATCCAGGTATGGTGTAGGAAGTTTATAGTAAGATTACTTCCTTCATACTTTCATTCCCTGAGCCTCAAACTTGGATCGTTATTGTTTCAAGCTGTTTTTGTTTATTTTTTCTTCTCATTAGATTGGCATTTTAAAAAGTATAAATGATCCTGGTCTTTGTTCAAGTTGTGAATATTCAACATTATTTAGGAAAGGCTGAAAAACATCTTTCCATTGTGGGACAGAATCAAACTTGAAGAACAGAGATCCTAGATCTGCCTCTCAGCTCTGCTTCTGAAGCTCCTGTAAAAAGGAAGATATTGGGGTCAGAGTGATAGGCCTAATTACAGCCCACTTCCCACCAATGAACAGTTGCTCTATTATTCCTTGAAGAGATCCAAGAAGGAAAGTGTAAGGCCTTAAATAAGGACTATGCCTATAGATGAATAAGCAGATGTTCAGTAAGTAGTTAGATGAAGAGAACTTAGTCAACAAAAAATAGAAGAAGAAATAAGGTCTTGGAAAAATCAAGTAAGTGTTTAAGTCTGAGGAAGTTCTGCTGAAGAAATTATCTGTGAAGTTCAAAAGAGATACAGCTCACTGCCTGCCTCTCAAACACTCATCACATCCTTTAATTATTGAGGAATAAATAAGTTGAAAGAGCCACATTTACCTGAGAGTTTATCTCTCACTTCTTCCCTCTCAAAATAAGGTACAGTGAAGGCAGTGAAATTACTTGTGAGGTGGCTTCAAGAAGGCATGTAGGAGGGATGTACATTATTTGAGAACATTTGATGTGTGGGTCAAATTCCATATTTATATCCCATTATTTTTTTCAAGTCTACCAAAACATCAGAAATTTCTCCTTAGGAAAGCCTTTACCACTTCCTAGGAACATTTTTCTGTAGCAGTCAAAATGTGTAATTCAAAAAAACTTGGTTATTGCAGAAGATACTGAAAGCATTAGGAATATAGGTGAGATGAGGAGGGAGTTGCTAAAGTGGAAGAAAGATAACTAGGATGAGGGGAAAGCCAGAGACAATTCTCCTGACTTTACTATTTGTTTTGTTTTGTTTATGTAGATCTGTTTTGAGAAGAGCAGAGGGAGACAGTGAAGGATAAGACTTTTTCCCTGCTAATCTATAAGAAAAATCAAACTATTGGGTCTTAAAAACCCTTAAGATTAAAGAGAAAATATTCTTTCTGTTCCCTCATCTCCTTTTCTGCCCAAAGACTATACTTTAAAAAGTACAAGTATTTAAGTCATTTGGGTAAACTTGGTCAACAAGTGAGGATGGGGAATAATCTTAGTAGGGTGTGAACAGTATGGGAAGAGTGGATGGCAGGTGTAGGGTAGGATGGGGAAGTGGTTCATCTTTCCATTTGAAAATAGAATGCACCACTCCAGAGAGAAAGGGAGAGTAGAGCCTCTGGGGACTTACATCCATGTATGTGAGAACACTGGCAAAGATCATCAATTACATCAGTTTGCTGAAAAAGTGACATTGAATTCTGGAGGCAGAAATTTTCTATGCAAATAGAGAGACCATCTTTATTACTAAAATGCATATTATAAATTATAGACATAAATATATTCCAAGTGCAACATTTTCACAGTGTTTTGGGAGTAAAAACAAAAAGATGACAGAAAAATTACGTTGCACAGGAGTTCCACTTATTCATAGTTTCAGACCAAGGTAATTTGATCTGTTGTTCCTAGAGCAGATGGCTCCTTTTCATGGAATTACAGGTTAACAGAATAAGTTCCTAAACCAAGAGACAATAAAAACATATAAACCATTTGAATATAATAATAATAAAAATAACAATAATGACAATAATAATAACATGGAAATCACTCCATATTAAAAATATCTGTTGGGGACTTCCCTTGTGGTGCAGTGGTTAAGAATCCGCCTGCCAATGCAGGGGACACGGGTTCGAGCCCTGGTCCGGGAAGATCCCATAGGCCTTGGGGCAACAAAGTGCATGCGCCACAACTACTGAACCTGCACTCTAGAGCCCATGAGCCACAACTACTGAGCCCACGTGCCACAACTACTGAAGTCTGCGTGCCTAGAGCCCATGCTCTGCAACAAGAGAAGCCACAGCAGTGAGAAGCCCACGTACTGCAATGAAGAGTAGCCCCCACTTGCCACAACTAGAGAAAGCCCATGCTCAGCAATGAAGACCCAATGCAGCCAATAAATAAATAAATAAATGAATAAAAATTTTTTAGAAAGCCACTTTAAAAAAATATTTGTTGGAATAATTGTGTGTACATTTTACAATCAGAATTCAAATAACTTTAATAGAAAATGTGAGTTCATTTATCTTGAATTGTATATTGCTGTAGTTGATGGTGTTTACTTTTTGAGGGTTTTACTTTTTTCATTAAACCCGGAAAGTGACAAATGGGAGGTTTGGAGAGAAAATTCTCCAAGGAAAGGAGACACTCAAGAGGCTGCTGTCTGGATGGTAGCTGCAACAGTACTTCTCTCCTAGTTTAGACTTTTCCCTGGAAATCAGATCCAGAGTTGGAAGGGGAAAAAGGCAAAAAGAAAAAGAAAACAAGCAGAGATCTGAGAAACTGATAGTCATGTTTGTAGATATATTTCTTAAAATTTAGCATCCCCATTATTGTAAGAAAATTAGGTGATCACTTACTATATGTAACCTGAAAGGCACTGCTGTAAGACTCACTTTCTTCAAAATACCTTCCTTTCCAGTCTGCTTCAGTGTCTTTAATCCCTCCATTAAAAGTGAGAGATTTACACTTTGAGTTAAAGTTCATCCCTAAGGCCTAGAATTCAGATATCCTTTGGCAAATTAATATTAAGCTAACATTAGTCATTAGTACATTAGTGTGAATAAATTTATCAGTTACTGACTAGAACAAGGGAATAAGACAGAAGACAAAACATACTGATGATGATGAGGGCTTGATAAAGTAAATCACAGCATTGAATACAAACTTAGATGGGCAGGCCTGAAGAGAAGGTGTGGTCCTAGCTAAGCAGCATAAAAATACTGGACACTTGTTCTCTCTGTCTTTTCCTCAAATGATATAAATAATTTTCAAGGGCTTCTGGACTGCCTAATAAATGGGCTATAACCTCAACATTTCCTCTAAGAATGAGGAAATATATCTCCTGGATATATTTCCCTCCTGTTTAACATAATAGATATGTTTAAAGTGAAATTAATATGTTAATGAAATTAAATCACTGGTCTCCCAAAATGACCCTAAAAAGTGTAATTCATGCTAATATAGAAAATAATAGACACATATAGTATAGACAAGGCCCTTTCGTTACAAGTACCCACAAAATTATTACTTCTAATCCCATTACAACACTGAATTATGTTCAAACACAAATCACTTTAAAGCAAAGAGACCAGGCATAATTACAGTTACTCATTTTAAAACACAATTTAACACTCATTTGGAACTCATTTAACACATCAAAATATGTACCTTATGATGAATAATTAGGATATAAATACATACACTATTGCTAGCAGCACAAAGTCAATCTTCTAGCAGGGTATTATCTTAATAACAAAGTACAAGCAAATCAACACTTGCCTAGAGAAAACATTAGAAAAATTTCCATTCATCTTAGATATTAGAATTCATTTTGATTTCACCAGTTTTTTTTCCCCAAATATATTGGTATTATAACTGTGTGCTTAAAATAACTCCTTTTCTGTAAATATGATGGAGCTCTTCCTTGATTTTCACATTCCTTCCAGATAGGAAGTAGCATGTTTCTTCATTTTAAAGCACACAGATTTTAATTAAAGCACGCTTTGAAACTTAGAGATTTTTGCCAAAGTATTTTTCAAAGTATTCTAATATTTAGGACCTCAGGTTAAATTACTACTCATATCCTGGGTCTGTTTCCTTCATACTAGTACTAAACAGGTAGGAGGCAAGGCATTTTAATGGGCGTCCAATGTGGCCAAAATTAATCTTCTGCACTTTTCTCAAAAGGGGAAAATATTGACTTCCCCAGATGCTGGGAGGGAGGCTGTGCTGGCCTTACAATGGTATGACTGGGGCAAAGCTGGGCAGTAACCTGTCAGAGGTACATTGATGTCACTCTAGAAGCATGGTGGACATTTCTTTTACTTGGCAGATCCGTACGCCTTCAGAGGTGTTCTCTGTAAAAAGTTTAAGAGAATCAGAACTATGATTATCACCTATCTGCTTTCTCCTGGACCTTTAAAGGCAATTTGGGTCACATTGTATGAACTTTGACAAGCCACCTGCCCTGGTTAGATTAAATATGGCAATTTATACAGTCATAGAGAGTATGTGAATTTATTTCTTGTTCTTATTTTAAACATACCAGAGGCCTGAGTTCAGATTTTCATTCTATTAATAGATGTGACAGATGATTTTTCATACTGATATTGAAATGAAGGAAATAGCTATTTGAGTCTTCAAACACTAGAGTGTAATCACATATGGAGATAAAAATGGTCCGTGAGGACTTCCCTGGTGGCGCAGGGGTTGAGAGTCCGCCTACTGATGCAGGGGACACGGGTTCATGCCCTGGTCCAGGAAGATCCCACATGCCGCGGAGCGGCTAGGCCCGTGAGCCATGGCTGCTGAGCCTGCACGTCCAGAGCCTGTGCTCCACAACGGGAGAGACCACAACAGTGAGAGGCCCACGTACCACAAAAAAAAAAAAAAAAAAGGTCCATGATTTTAACACTGTTTTTGCAGAATAATATAATGTCCATCCTACTTAAAGACAACTAAAATATGATATTGGGATATAAACTGTGATTACTAGTATAAATAGACAATTACATTGCTTCTAAATACAAGGAAACTCAATGTCCATTGTAACAAAACTAAGTGTTTATAATGACTTCAACCTAATAGTCTCTCTTTGTCTTAGGTTCACAGATACAACTGCTGGCTCTAGTTGAGATCATATGTGTATAGTATGTCACTGAAATTTTATAGCTTAAGTTTCAGTCCACATCCAGTTTTTTTTTTAACATAGTTCAGTTGTCAAGGTAGAAGTGGTATGGCTGCTCACAAATGATTTTGCATGGAGTTTTATGTTATCATGCAAATCTTGTCTTGAAAGCCGTCTTCTGAACTCATCAGTGGTAAAGTAGTATATGATTGGGTCAAGGCAGGAATTCAGACTAGCAAGACACAAGGCAATAGAATGAAATATGAGAATCACCCTTCTGGCTAGGCAGCTTTTAATTTCATTGGACTTGACCAGGAAATCTAAAGGAAAACTGAAGTGATAAGGTGCAAAGCAAATTAGGAAAACTCCTGCACAGGTTAGAATCATCTTCAAGGCTTTCTTTTTCTCTCCAAGGTCTTGGGCCACAGGATATTTATCCTGCAGTGATAAAACCGTCTTCCAGGTACAATACAGGACAGTCAGAAGAGGAGTGACAAATCCAATCAACTCGCCAATGGTCATCATGACAACAGACTGGGCTAGATTGACATTCCTGGTAGGAAGATCCACAAAGCATTTTGTTCTGTTGCTAGGGGTGTCATCGCTGCTTCGGAGGAGTGGAAATAGCAGACAGGCAAGGCAGATTATTAGCCAGCCAGCAATGCTGATGTATAGGTCATATTTCTGTTTACAGTCGTGGAAGCGAAAGGGGTAGAGGAGAAACCAAAATCTTCGCACACTGATGCAGACCAAGAAGTAGATGCTTGCATACATGTTGACATACTTCAGGTAGAAACAAAACATGCAGAGGCCAGGCCCAAATGGCCAGTCATGATTCAAGTAGTAAAAGATCCTCAGTGGCAAGGAGAGGACTTGTAATAAGTCAGCAATGGCTAGGTTTATCATGAATATCACAGCCCGTTTGGTTTCTTTCATATAGCCATAAAATACCCACAAGGCTAATATGTTCCCTATGAGACCTGGCACAAGAATGACAGTGTATGTCACTGCATAGATGAAGTACCGAAAATCTGTATTGGATCCATCTGTCCCAGCACATGTGTCATTAGCAGGCATGTTTCTTTCTAGAGAAACTGCCTTTGCTAAATGGTGGTTAAAAAGCTGAATTTATAATCTACTGCTGCTCTTTCTAAAAGACTGATCATCGATGGGCTGGGGAGACTGAATATAGAATAACCTCCTTTTTATTGCATTGGTCTGGGCTTATATACATGATTTGGGTTTTTTTTCAAGTAACTATCTGCATGTTTGCTTTGGATTTGTCTACATTAACTACATTGAAGTCTAATGTGCAAGCACAGATGACAAGCTGTTATAATTTTCCCTTCTTCTTTACTCAGTTAAAAGGCCTCTGGGACATCATAACAGTTGATCCTCTCCCATTTGATCATAAATGTGCCATATAGTAGCTCTTCAAATTCCCATATGATGACAGTCATCTCTTTACTGGTGTTTGGCAGGCTGTTTTTCATTTTTTTGGCTCACATAGAAGAAAGGTTTGCTTTAGTACTCAGTGGGTCCACAACTCTTCACAGATGATTAACTTGGATGGATCATCTTTCTGGGACATTTTCAGTTATGTGTCGTAAACTAAAAAGTGAGAAACAAAGTCAGAGCTGCAAATGAAAAAAAGTTAAGCCAATTATTGTCTAGAAATTTTTGAAAAAAAAGCCTATGTGTAGAAAAATCTATTACCTTTAATGGAAAGTTCTGATGTGAATGAGTGTGATTAGTCACAAGTTCCATAAGACACTTTAGAATCACAAGACAGTATAGCTAGAAGGAACCTGAGAAGTAATCTAGCCCCTTACTACTCAAAATGTGATCCACGAACCAGCATTACTGGAGAACTTTTTAGAAATGCAAAAGAATCTCAGATCCCATCTGGGACTTGCTGCAACACAATCAGCAATTTAAGAAGAACCACAAGTGATTCTTAGGCATATTAACATTTGAGAGGCTCTGATGTAGACCACAGCTTAACAAACATCACTGAGGGTCACACTCATCTGGGGAAGTTTAAAAAAATTACAACTTTCCTTAGATTTTCTAGTGTCTCCTGTAGAGATTCTTATTCAGTACTTAGGGCCTGAAATTTGTATTTTTAAAAAGATCCCCATATGATTCAGATATAGCCAACCCAGCCAGCATTTGTCCTTGAACCATCATATAGGGGCCACTGATTTGTTTCATATCTTCCCCAGATGTCTGAAAATTAGTGGGCAACCACCCTCTCTTTAATTACTTGCAATAACAAGGGTCATTTAGCCACTTCTCAATTATCCAAGACAAAAGACCATGACATCAATACGGAGAATCAAAATCCCCAAAAAGTTGACCCAGCTAGGTCCATGACCTCTGTTCTAAAACAAATTTTAGCTTAGGCACCTGGATAGTTGCCTCAAGGCTGCTGAAATGCAGGAGGAGTTAATTGACTTTAAAGATATGTGGGAAGAACAAAAATGAAGTAGGAATTATAAAACATCCTGCTATGGATTATCAAATCCATGTAGATTATCAAATCCATGTTTGAAGTTGGCTTGATTCAACCCCTGAAGGAATTGTAATTGTTATTATTTTGCCTCAATCACCTGGTAAGTAAAATAGCACATTTGTTCAAAGATACAATGCACACTTTATTTAAACATGCTGATAAATAGTATGAACTATGCATTCAGATTGAAGGGGTTAAATACTTGAGATTTCTCAGATAAGGAAGTAGAGAGACGGTGTTATAAAATAACAAGAAGCAAGACTGTAAAGAATAACATCGATGTTGAAAGAGTGGTTAAAATTAGAGGTTGTTCAGCTCCCAAACTGAAATACATCTTTGAAATATTTTCACAGGTAGTGATTTTGATTAGATGACAGGCAAAATTAGGTGGCAGACCAAAAAGTCACAAGCCCTGGGTTTTCAACCTCCTTTTAACTATTTATATAAAAGTCATCACCTGCTAACGTCACTGATAAGAAATCAGAACTATACAAATAAACACCCAGTCAACTTCTAATGAACATTCACCTCTCCTATCAAAGCCAATGACTCTTAAATCTATGTCAATCCTGAGCTGTAACTCTCTTTCCAACTATATATAACACCTCTTCTTTTGGATATTTCATTACCATCTTAAAATTCAACATATGAAAGTGAAGCCATCTTTTCTATTTATTGAAAATATGTCATATCTTGTCAGATAATGTCACCTCTTTGACAAAAAAATCTCCTAATGTCTTCTCATCTCACTCAGAGGAAAAATAGAAGTCCTTACAACAAATGGCCTATTTAACTACATGGTCTGGCCCCTGGTTACTCTTCTGATCTCACCTTCTAAGATTCTCCCCCTTGCACTCTGCTCCAGCAACTTTACCATTCTTGCTGTTAGGTGAACAGACCAAGAACCTTCCCTCCTCAAAGCATATGAATTGGCAGTTCCCTGTGCCTGAAATGCTTTAGCCTAGTTATTTATCTGTTTTACTCCCTTGCCTCCTTCAGATCTTTACCCAAGTGGGTCCTTTTCATGAGGCTTTCCCTAATCTTCCTATTTAAAACTGCAGCTCACCTCCAACACTCCCCATCTCCTGTCAGTATTTATTTTATCTATTGCCAGTTGTAACTAACATACTCTTTGATTTTTACTTATTTATTTTGTTTTTATATATTTTCCCTACTAGAATGTAAAGTCCATGAGGACAAGGATTCTTGTGTGTTTTGTTTACTTGTTATAAAACAGAACTGAGGACTGTGGAAGACACAAATAAGTGCTCAGTATTTGTTGAAAGAAATAATTTCAGTAAATAAAATCAATATATCTCACACAAAAATGATCATCCCTCAAAACTTCAAACCAGATTCTGCTCCTGACTTCTTCATTGCTATTAAGTTCACTAATGTTTTCCTAGGTTGTCTCAAAGTCTTGGAGGTATTGACTCTTTGTCATTTATTTTCCACTTCCAAACAAGTTAGGGAAGATAGCTTACTATGGGGGAAATAACATATGTTTAGGAGTCAGGATTACCTGGGTTTAAATTCTTGCTCTTTTAATTAATAGCTGTGTGACTTCAGGTATATCACCAAACTTCTCTGATTCTTTAATTTCTCATAGATAAAATGAGAATAATCATAGTACCTAACTTAGAGTCAGTGTGAGAATTAATTGAGCTGCTGTATATAATTTATTTAGCATAGTGTAAGGTACATAAATGCTTAATAACTGATATTATTATTATTACTACTTTCTGCAACTGCGTTATTTCTCATAATATTATTCTTTAAATTTGCATTGTTTATGCTCTAGTTCAGGACCTTATTACTTAATTTATTTCCCTATCCCTTATCATTTTCTACTCCATACTCTATAATGCTGTCAGATATTTTTTTCCTTAAAATGAGCTCTTAAAAAGCATTAATGGATTCCTATTGCCCAAAAAATCACAAAATACAGTCTGGCAGTCAATGGCTTCCTTAAATACAGTGCCATCTACCTTTAGGATTTTGTCTCCCAGTGCTCTCCTAACATGTCCAGAACTCCAGCCAAACTGAGCTCCATACTATTCAAACTGACTTTTTCTTCCCCCACAAATAGCTTTTTCCATTTTTTCATTCTGCTACCTCAGCTTGGAATATCTTTTTTTGTTTTGTTTTATTTTTTTGCATACCAGTCCTACTTATTTGTGAAGACCTTTCTCAAATTTCCTGTCCTTCGTGAAAACTTCTTTAACTCAACACTGTTGTCCTAACTCCTTTTTAAAACCCTCATGTATACCTCTTTTAAAGCACATACTTCTTCTGCTTTTTGGTTAGTAACTTATGTCTGTGTCTTATTTATGCCTCTGCTCCCCTTTTCACCCCACTCCACCACAACTATGCCAGAAAATTGTTGAAGTCAGGGGCTGAGTCTTATATATCTTTATACCCCCCGAAGCACCTAGAACTATGTTTGGAATATGTTGAGATCATCCAATATTTATTCAGCATTTATCATTTGCCAGGTGCATGCTTGCTACTGGAGGTATAGGCGGTGGAAAAAGGCACAAAATCTCTGTCTTTTTAGACCTTATAGTCTAGTGAGGAAGAATGATAATTGGTGCACAATATGAAAAATGTGATCATAGGCAATGTACAGTGTTCCCTAAAAACACAAAAAAGGGGAACCAACTAAATATTAAGAACATTTTTGCTTAAGTGATGTGAACTTAAACTCAAGACTATCTTCCTGAAGTCTGTATTTTTCCTGTTGGTTGTTCCCTCACTGGCCACATTTTAATGCTTTTTCATCTGTATATCCTAAACTGCAAACTTGAAATGCTCTTGAATACAGAATCTCCCTTAATATTCTTCTGACTTCCTTCTGGGAGAGCTGGTAATGTTATCCCTTTGTTAAGATAACATTATTTTCTAGTAGGAAAAGTTGCTTGGGATTGTTGGAAAGGCTTTCAAACATGGGGAAAAAAAACCCTAGTCAGCTGTGCTGTAATGAATATAAATATTCCTTTATCTAAGAGTGATGGACACAAAAGATGAAGGAGGCTTTTTTTTCAGAGTATATTACTATTTTTTTTGAGATTTCCCTTTCTCAGGAAAGAATCCGTATTGTAACAGACACTGGAACAGACTCCAATTTTAAATGAGCTATTTATTTGAAGCAACATGCCAGATTCCTTGATCAATTTTTTCTTGCTTCAGGAGCCTATCCTTACTTAATTTTACTCACTTCCTTGGGAAGAAGAAAAACATAAGAGAAAAAGTGAAACTGATGGCCTGAGTTTAGTCTGATTTCCAGCAATATACCGTCCAGAAACTATTCCATATATAGTTCTTGTGGGAAGTTAGTATTTTTATTTATGAATATTTATCAGTTTACATGAACCTGAAGCTTCACTAAATTTTACTCGTGATATGGTTCAAGAGTATTTTCAGCAATATTATGTATTTGGTTGCTTATTTCTGGGAAAACCTGTTTCAAATGAATATCAGGGATAGCTTTCTGTGTATTTTACTGAGACTTCTTAGTAAAATCTCAGCAAAATGTGTTTCTGTATTTTAATAAAGGGAAGTGAATTATTAAAATTATTAAAATACCTAATTTATAATGGTGATCTTTGAGACATATTAGTGGCAAGTAGAGACTATATTTTGGGATGTGGAGCTCTGCTCAGCAACCATCCAATCACAGGTCAAATGCAACTGCTTGCTCAAAAGCCAACTTTATTTTAGAGTTCTGGTTATGTACACACTTTAGTAAGCCAAGAAAAAGCAGACCTAGTGCTACAAGTGACTGCAAATAATGTGGGACAGAACAAGGAGCGTACATGTGTGTGGGAGGCAATTATACTTTTACGATACATGAGTAATCACAAATATTGAATAGATGAGAGCAGAACAATTTCTTCCTGATTCTAATCAGCACACATAGCAAATCTCAGGGCTTCTTTTTCACTTTTGAAATTCTTCAAAGTGAAATAATTTACAGTATTTCCAGAAAACCTGTCCAGCAACTATATCTAAGAGCTGACTACAGCTCAGTAAGCAAATACTTTAGAAAGTCTTTACCTAGTTAATTCTCCTAGGAAGAATGTTCCATCAGAATTTTTATTTTAAAGAGGGGTGGGGGGCTTC